AGAAACCATCTGGAACAGTATCAAATAACCCAGAATTTTAAATATGCCATGCCCACCAAGCTCACAAGTTGCACAAGATGGGTATGATGCAACAAACTGACTTCCTCTTTGACCAGTCTCACAATTTGTTCTTGCAAATGGCCTAGAACTGCAATCCCAAAAATGGCCTGTTCTGGACCATTTGGGCTTTCACTACAAAGCCATCCCTTTTAATTATTCATTGGTTTAATTTAGTTTTAAGGGGAGGGAGGGTTAGGGATTGGGATGTAAGATGTTTTAACTTCTTTGTGTTTTAATTATGCTGTAACCCGCCCCGATTGCTGAGCAGAGGGGCAGGCTAGAAATAAAAAAATATTATATATTATTAATTATATTATATTATATTATATTATATTATATTATATTATATTATTGCCATATTCTTGCCATCCCCACCTTGACTCCCTGCTCACCACTGTTCCTGCTACCAATACCTCCCATCATACTTCATTTCATTCTGCCCCTGTTCTTTGTCTTACAGTACCAATAGCACCACTAGCTTTACCTGCTTCTTTTCCTACCCTCTGTTTAAAGCAGCACTGACAGCTTTATGCAACCTTTGCATAAAGTAAAACAAGGGTGGGAAGGACAAGAGGGTTGGAGATGCAGTTGTAGCTGTAGCTGCAAGGGAGGGAAGCATGGCAGAGCTAAGGGGCAGGGAAGAGAGAGGGGGGTACAGCAGGTGGGTGCCAGGTGCAAGAGAAAAGTGGTAGCATGAGGAGAGGAGAGGAGAGGAGAGGAGGATGAGACATGCAAGTAGTGGAGTGCAGGAAGTAAAGGAGAGAGCATTTTTAAAGTGATGAAAGAGAAAGGAAAGGAGGATGAAGGGTGCAGCAAGATGGTGCAGAAGGAAGAGAGATATTTATTATTTAGTATATTTAATTCATCTCCTGCCTTTCTCCCAGCATAGGACCCCAGGTGCAAGAGAGGGAAGAGTGGTGACCCAAGTGAAACAATGATGGAAAGTAGAAGATGGAATCAATGGAGTGCAATAAAGATGGGAGGGGAACATGGCAAAGGTGCAATATGGGCTTCCTGTAATATTTCCATGAATTTGTACCTTATTTTGCCATCAGTAAATAAACTGATGGCAAACACACACCCATGCGTGCGCGCGTGCACACACACACACACACGATCTTATAAGAGTACAATAGCATCAGAAGTGCCTGGGTAATGGTGGGGGTGAGGGTGGTTTACCACAAATCTCCAGTTGGTTGGAATATATTAGAATAACTATCTGTCTTAATGAGGGTTTTAAATATTCAATGATTACTCAGTAGCATTATACTTTTTTATTAAAGGCACATTTATATAGAATGGTTAAAAAATTTGTTGCAAGTTTTAGAAGTATCCAGAGCTACCTCAGATTATACCCAACAATAAATTCTGTCTCACTTGGTATGAAAGATATTAGGAAACCTTCTAGACAGTACTTGTTGAGTAAGCTCTTTCACACATTTCCACACTATAAACATTTAATGAAATTGGCTCCCAACAGACTATTTACTACCATCCATTTATTTCATGGCACTTTATTTGCAATGCAGGAGCAAGATAGAGCAAAGGTTATTTCAGGTTCTTATCCAGTGCCATTTTTCCATAAATAAAGAAAAATTAAATCATTTACTTTTGAATGCATTCTTAAAAGGTTAAATACTCAATCAATTTTTCTTTATCTAACTCAACCAGCCTCAGGTGCCATGTGCACTGTTTGGGTAAAAGCTAGATAGAAAATTCTATAAACAAAAGACATCTAACAACACAGTGCAAAAACAGGAACCAAGAAGATATATGTGGGTGTTTTGTTAACAGAAGGGGGCAGTTCCATTACATCTCCAGCCCCCCTGAAAAAAATTAAAAATGCCCTTTGGATCAGTAGGCCTTTAAACAGTAGGGTCTGTTGGCAGAGAGAGATTTTGCTTCTCTACTATTACTGTACTATTACTACTAATTTACATATTGTCTTTACATATTGCACTGGGCAAATACATAAATCATGGAATGGAAACAGCAGGCAAGATCCCACTGCTACCATCACCACTCTGGTCCATGCACTGGTATCTTTTCATATGTCATATCATCTGAGCAGAACAATGGACTTAAGAAAACACATGAATTCTAGGAACATACTACAGCAGTGGTTCCGTTCCTATCTCTCAGGCAGATTCCAGATGGTGATGCTGGGAGACAGCTGCTGTCCTAAAAGAGAACTAAAATCTGGCATCCCTCAGAGCACCATCCTGTCTCCTATGCTATTTAACATTTACATGAAGCTGCTGGGTGAGATCATCCAGAGATATGGGGTGGGGTGTTATCAGTATGCTAATGACACCCAGATATGTTTCTCTATGTCTTGGACTGTTGCAATGACTAAGGACAGCATCTCTCCTCTGAATGAATGTCTTAATGTAGTAATGGACTGGATGAGGGAAAACATACTCTAACTGAATCTGAATAAGATGGAGGTACTTGCTATAGGGACCCCTAACCCGGGAATGGAGATATGTCAACCAGTTCTGAATGGGATCACACTTCTCCTGAATGACTGTGTTTGCAGCTTGGAGGTGTTCCTGGACTTGTCCCTCCAGTTGACACCACAGATAGACGTGATGGTCAGGAATGTCTGTTATCAGCTTCGGCTGATACACCAGATGTGACCCTTCCTGGAGCCAGGTGACCTTGAAACAGTGGTACACGCACTGGTAACCTCTCGACTTGACTTCTGCAATGTGCTCTACATGGGGCTACTCTTGTGCCAAGTTTGGAAACTTCAATTGGTGCAAAATAGGGTAGCCAGGCTAGTTGCAGGTATATCTAGAACTGACCATATAATACCTGTTCTAAAATCTCTGCATTGGCTGCCAATTAATTTCCGGGCACGGTACAAGGTGTTGGTTATAACCTTTTAGAGCCCTACATGGCCTAGGTCCAGACTACTTGCAGGAGCACCTATCTCCATATAATCCACCCCACACACTTAGGTCCTCTGGGAAGAATTTACTGCAGCCTAAGAAGACCAGATTGGCTGTGGTAACCCAGAGGGCCTTTTCATCTGACACTCCTGGGTTATGGAATGGCCTGCCGGAGGAGATCCATAACATTATCACTCTAGAAGCCTTTTAAAATGCTGTTAAGATGGATCTCTTCCAGCAGGCCTTTCCAGATTAGCCTCTGCTCCATTGATATTGATATCCCCCGTCTACCCCAAGATAGATGTCTCACCTCCAACTCCCTTTAATGTTAGCTAATTTGTTATTTTTTCCACTTTTAATTAGTATTTTATATTGCTATTCATTTTATATTGTTATTGTTTTTAGTTTGCTTCTTTTTTATGATTGGAAGGGGGTTGGGGTAGGGTAGAAATGTATTTTTAAATTGTTTATTTTTTTATTGTTATTCTTACTTGTTGTAACCTGCCTCGATCCACAGGGAGAGGCGGCTATATATAAAAATATATAAATAAAATGTATTATTATTATTACTGAGCAACATTGAAGTTTTTAACCACTTTATATATTTCCCCACACATGCATTTATACATTTTAACAAAGGAGAAGAGAATCTGGTGGACCCCTAGATGTTGGTGTACTCTAGTTTCTATCAGCCCCAGCCAGTATTGCCAATGGAACATAAATAATGGGGCGGCGGCGGCGGCGGCAAGCGGCGGTCGAGCAGCCGCGTTCTAG